TGGATCTACATTTCAAATAACAATAAATAAAACATTCACTTTTGAAATATAGTATGGCCAACGTTAGATTTAAATCTAAACAAAAAATTGGTTACATAACCTCCGCTTCCAGATCATGGAGAGGGGGATCAGAGTTGTTGTTGTTACAGCAGTTTCTTTTTAAACAGTCCAACTTTAATGAGCAACATTCCACAAAGCTACCATGTTATAATGGCTGCTTTCATTATCATTCTTCATCTGTTCACGTCTGATAAAGAAAGTAAAATTCTACCCTGTCTCTCTTCAATAAGGCAGAGATGTAATAATACAGCGACATGTGGGGAATCTACCATGCTTACATCTGTAAACTGAAAGAACAAAGAGCTGCAGCCAGCTGTGCGAGTTTGTGGATTGTGACTGCACAAACCACCCTGTAGTGTTTGTCCACACACGCCTGTACAACTATGCATTCATGCGTAGTGTGTATGTGTGTGTGTGTGTGTGTGTGTGTGGGGGGGGTGTTAGTGTGTATGAGTGTAGAGGACTGTGAGAATAATGATGATCAAATATACAGCATGTATATGCACATACATCTCATTTTCTGCACACACCAGTGTATGTGCATCTGTGTGTGTCACAGTCAGAGAAACTAGGTTACGTTTCCAGGGGAGGAGATTGGGCGTGACACGTGGCAGAGGAAGCCCTTGTGCCTGCTTCCAGCGCCTGCTCCAATGTGAAGTGACAGCATTTGCCTTGCCCCTAAACCACACACACATACAATTTTCATGAGCATTGTACAAAGCATGGCCTCACACATTTGGGAACTAGGGCATTGTTTGGTACCACTTTACAACTCAGCAGTTTCCCCTTTTGGGTAAAGGGCCGTTCATTTTAAGCTAATTGAGGCCCCTTTTCACAGCAGCGCCTTAGACAAGTGAACCCCCGGCTGAAGAGATATTTTTTACAGTGTTTAAATCTTGCTTTTGGAACTCTATCTCAGGAGGCAGGAGACCAAAGTTACGAGCCAGGAGCCACATTCTGATTGCTGCAGTAACAAAAACTGTTTTTGGTTAACTCTTCCCTCCAAGTTGGATGTAAAAAGACGGTTTAGAGTGCCAGAGATGTGTTTTCATGGCAGACTGAGAAAGAAAACTCAAATCCAATCTGAACACGGAGAGTGTGTACAAGCATTACAGGGGAATTCTATTTTATGAAGCGTCTTAATAACATATAGCTCTACTGAGAACAAAAAGTGCGTGTATGCTGTTCACTTCTCCGCAGGTTTCACATACTAATAAAGACGGTAATTCCCATTTAGCTCAATGATCAAGATCTGTGTGTGTGTGTTTATGTGTGTGTATTAATGGATGCTACAGAACAAAAAGCAGAGCAGGGATAATCCTTTCTAACCTTCTAGCTGCAGGTTTAGGGATTAGCGGGATGCTGGGAGCTTCCCTCTCCCCCCTCCTCTCTTCTCTTCCTGCCTCCCAAATGGCTCACTCCGTTTTGCACTCTCACTCCTCCGTCTTCATTCAGACTGTGTCAATATCTGATTGGTGCTCCAACTTCCTCCTCTTCCTCAAACCTCTCTCACTGATTCCCTTCATCCTTCACTATCACCTCTCTCCTTTGTCCTGGTGTCTCTTTGCTTCTTTTCTCTCTCTTTCTCTCTCTCAGACGGAAAAGCTGCAGAATACATTTCAAAAAGAATCAAAGCAAAAGGGAAGATGGAACACCACCAACCAGGATTTCAATTATTTACATACAGCTTATGCTGTTTTTTCATTTAAATGCTCAAGAGGAAGTTTACTAAACTCCACTGTTGTTTGTGATTTATTACGGAAGGCATTTCCTCAGACAATGTGTGCATTGATGTACAAACAAACATACAATAAATGTATGGATGTTTTGGTTTGTGCATGCTTTAATGTTGCCCAAAGTTTCTCTACAGTAGCATTTTCTTAGGATTTCTGTTTTTAATAATTTTTTTGTCTACAGGGAAGTGTGTTGTTTTAAAGAGTGACACATTGAGACACGCCGCTCAGTAGGAGAACAAGATCAACGGAGTCATAAAAACTTGAATGCATTCCCTTAAATGATGATGAGAAAAGGTTCTTGGGGTCAATCTGAAAGGCTTACTTCACCACTAAACTAAAGACTTTCAGGGGGGATGTGGAAATGTGTTCAGATGTACAATTTGCATGACCCCCCGCAGCTGAACTTGTCACACTCGTCTGAAGAGTCCCGACTGACCTGATTTGCTCCGTCCTGAGGTGGAAATTAAGGGCCTCGACGAGAATGTCTTCAGTAAACGGCGGCTTATCGTTCTTGCGCTGGAGGTCGAAGTGTGCAGAGTTAGAGAGGGCATGGACACCTGCATCTGTCCTGCTGGAGATTGACAGAGATACTGGGTTGAGCGGCCTCAGCCTCCTTATTGCATCCTGCACACAGACAGAGAAAGAAAAAGCTGTGGGTTGCTAAATTTTACAAAAAAAAAAACTTTTGAAAGATTTACTTTTGAATTCACTCATATCTTTCTAAAAATAGATAAGTTACATCAAAACAGTGAAAAAGGGGATATCAAATAGAGCTGTAAACAGCAGCATGATGTGACAGGAACGTCTGGGATCTTTGCTGTGTTATCTGTGTGTGTGTGTGTGTGCGTGTGTGTGGGCACTCTTTTTCGAATATATTTTTGTCCATTCTTATGCCTTTATTGGAAGTACAGCATTAGATAGATATTAAAAAGCTGACGGGGAATGACACACAACAAAGGTCCTCAGCAGGATGCAAACTGGGGACATCGCAGTTCATGGCCAACAATGCAGTACTAACTGACAATTATTTTCCCAACTTGTGCATGAGCCCTCCTTTCACACTCCAAATTCAACTATTGTGTTAATCATTCCTTCGTTTCACAGGATCACAAACAAGCAGACTGATGATGTGCAGAGTAATCTGCTGTAAACAGTGAGAAGATGATTTATCCTCATCATTGTTCAAATTTGTTGGTTTAATAAAGAAAACAGAGAGGTGCTTCCGTCATTTAGCTTACCGTCACTGATATAAATGGGGTGGATAAAACAATCCCTGTTAGTATAAGGCAATACAATTCAACAGCACACCAAAACTATAGACTCCAGAAACAACTGGACTCAACAAAAACTGCGCATTATAACCTTCTTGAAGGTAGGGTTTATAACAGGACTGTTGTGTTTGACTGCTCCACCTTTAGCTGGGTGTACCTAATAAACAGGTAACTGTACCATTTAACATGGTAGCTGTTGCACAACCTGCCCGTCTGTGGAAATGAGTGTATTGCTCTTTGTGCATCTCGCTCTCTCTCAGTGTGGTTATCCCTAAGATAACTGGTATTCAGGAAGTAATCGTGAACCAGACTAAAAATATGATCTGCTCATGTTTCAGAAGCAATAAAAGGTAAACAATACTTAGATAACTTACTTCGCCTGTTTGCTGATATGCGAGAGTAGAACTGATGTTGGAAAGAGGGAAAGAAGGGATATGTTTACGAGGATAAGATTTTACACTAATTTAACTTACCTCCAAGTGGTCCTGGACCCCTTTCCTTATCAGCTGATGTGGAGGCACTTTCACAGCACCTCTGCAGAAATAATAATAATTAATTACAGATCTGGCCATCTGGACTATGACTCCCTGGCAGATGATATATTGTATCTCAATGGGTCCCTTCTAGTTAAATAAATATAATAATACAATAGTAACAGACCTTATAATGTAACCAGTTATCCTGCAGTAACCTACCTGTATTTTGTCCCAATGTACTGAAAGAAGATGAGGTAACGTGTCCAGTTGTGCATGGTCTTTCCCAATGTCTGTGACACTTCTTAATCATACTGTTCGCCTTTGACACAAACACCCCGTTTTTAAGACGGAGTCAGCGGAGAACGACTTTTACACAGTTGGATTTGTAGTCCGGAAGAATATTAGTGCAGCGCCTCAAGACAGCAGGTCAGTGTGTCATTCTAAACAGTATTTTGTTCTAAATATTAACTCGATAAAAGAACAAACATATAAGCATTATGTCATGTAGACACACCATGATATTCAGCAAGTCACACAAACTGAACGACACATGGACATCCCGCTTCTGCCCATCTTTGGCAACATGCGCTGCCTGCACAAAGTGTTTTCTGCGCGCATGCGCTCACACATGCGCCTTCTATGTTCGCTGCGACTTAACTACCCATGTAAACATGAATGCATAGATTCTGCAAGGACTCTTTTTGACTGTAGTCCTGTCGGTCCCTTTTTGATTACGTCATAACACGCAGGGGGAGGTGTGTGTCGTCGTCAGAGCAGCCGCAACGCCATCTGCCTTGAACATAACTGAGGCCAGAGACTATATAATTTAGTGGAGATGGTTCAGATGAGAGTAGTGTAAAGACAGTCAACACGAGGAGGATTAGGACAAGAAAGAGAAAGGAAAACAGATTTATTACATCTTAGTAGCCTATGGTAAATACACGGACTTGTTCATTTGTTATACTTCATTATTGCACAATAAAGAGTCTGAAATCTGAGATTATAGTCTGAGTTCCTCGACTAAAGTAAACATTTCCGGGATTCATCTTAAAGCTCAATATTTTTTCACAAGGTTCTGACAGCTAATACAAACTATATAATAATAATTATTACAAAATTATTGAGGAAGTAGCCCTCAGGTGAGCTTTTAATTCATTATCTTTGATTGCATCCAAGTTTTGGCAGAATATGTAGCAGGTTATGTTGTAACGATTTAAATTAAACTTTAAAATATTCACATTTCTTAAATGAAACCGACAATAACATTAGCATTACTGTAAGATCGTGGGGATGTCTGATGATGGTCGGTAGTACACCAGCCAGGTTTTATAAGTGAGCTTATGTGGGGAGGCTTCTGTTCAAGTCTCAGCTAGTTGTGTAGACTTTCATCCTCCCATGATCCCCCCTGTCTTTCAGAGGTGTTACGGCGGGTTGAAACTAGTCGGCGCTCTCCTCCCTCCTTCAGTCTCCACGGCGCAGCCACTCTCGCCTGTCTCGGCAGCAGTGTAGTAGTAATCAGCCTGCCGCGCTCTGAGCTCGCATTTTGTGTCACGGTGCCACCGGGAGAGGGGCGACAGACTGCTGTGTGTCAGGGGATACCAGTCACCATCCGCACGGTTCAAGCGACATCCTGCCGCGGGCAATGACATTGGCAGACTGAAGTGGGAATACACGAGAAAACGCAAAAATGACGGTGGACTTTGAAGAATGTATTAAAGATTCACCCCGATTCAGGTAAGGCTGCTCCTCGGAGGCACATCACAGTGGTGCGCAAAAATGGCACACCTTCTTTTACGCGTGTTTTTTGTAAAGACTGGGACTGAACGCTTCCACTCGTGCATCAACAGGATGAATAAAACAAGATGTGGCGTTGGATGTCTGGTTCGCTCATGTGTTCAGCAGCATGATGCCGTTTATTTGTTTTTCATTTTTTTGGTCTTTATTTCATTTTTGATCTTCAAACTTATCACAGTGATTGTTTTTAATTGTCGTGTTTTGTTTTGTTTTTTAATTAAAACATGTATTTGCTTTGTGGTGCATTTGCTTGAAGGCATGCTGTGTGTCAGTTGTTCCTATGTGAAGGTCTGATTTTTGAATGTGGCTTGTGACGTTAGCTCAGTGCTTCTGAGAGGAGGGACACTCATTGCCAAGCACAGCAAGGATCCATTTTGCATGAGTGTAAAAAAAAATAATGTCATGCCATAATCAACCCCCTGATATGCACTTAGAAAGGGGCACTCCTTTAATGTGGCCTAATATGTGGATCCTCCTGTGTGTGAGTGAGTGTTGCAGCATGGCATACAGGTTGGGAGGAGGCCCTGCAGTCACCCACCTGTGTATCTGTGGTGGGAGACTGGAGAGGAGATGCAGCAGCAGCAGCTTTGGCCTGGCTGGCAAAGAGGCAGCAGGGAGAGGAGTACAATCTCTCTCTGCAGGGACAGAGCTCGTATCCCAGGCACAGATCCAGATGTTCGGCCCCTTGCCTGCTAGCTGGAGGGTTGTAGCCACACTCAGTCCACGTGCCAGTCTGGCTGCACTCCGTTGCATGCCAATGGGAAACCAGCAGAGGACATTCTAACAGCATTTAGGCCGGGGATCCCCCGTTAATTATGCCAGGGAGACAGGCGTAGTATCATTTATTCAGTTTTTACTGAGAAGTAGCAGAATTTTAGTTTATTCTGCTTAGAGATGCATCTTTTTTTCTGTTTTCTCTGTATTTCTGTCTTCTCTTCTGTTCCCCTATGTCAGCGTCTGTTGCCTGTTTGCTCTGTGTTTTCTGTGTTTGTCATTTTCTTGCTTCCCTCTAACTGTTCCTGTCTCTCAGACACATCTTATCGTGTTTGACCTCTGTGTGACTAGCAGATTGTGATTCGAGTGAGCATGCAGACAGTGGAATGAAAGAAAGAGACAGAGGGAGAGAGACATTCAGTTTGCTGCTTAGATCCCACCTCAGTGATGGATGGCCGAGACAGAAGGTCACAGGAAGAGGGAGAGAAGCAACACACATTCAGACGCTTCCTTTTTTTCTGCCTGGTTCACTTTCCCATGGTCTTATGAAGATTTCTGTTTGGAAAATTCCTCCACTGACAGAGGAAGCTGATGTTTCCTTGAGTTTACAAGCAGTGGGGAAAATTGTGCTGTGTAAAACTGTGATCATGATGGTGATGATGAAAACAATTATAATTATAATACTGATCACTATTTCCTTTACATACAAATAGCTGTGATGCATTCAATTTGTGAAACTGCCCTCAAAACAATGAATAGTCATCATTATTTTCCAGTTGAGTACATTTAAAAGTACATGTTTGGAGTTTAATGTTGATATGGAGCATGGGAGACCTTGTTTTTCGTTTCTCTGTGTACATGATATTATCCAGGTTTCTTGTCATCCGGTTGGTGTAAGCATGTCTTGGGTTTGGTTTCTGGCTGCCTGGACACTCAGGATACCTGTGTGTATGTAAACACACACATTGTGTCCTTCCCAAAAAATGATAGTAGTAGTTAAAACCAGAGCACAGTTTTACCTCGCGATACAATTATACGAATATTGAGAAGCTATTCTCAATACCTAAAGAACTACTAATAAATAAAGAAGGCATTGTCCAAAGAGCAAATTCATGTGGAACAGAGATTACCATGAAAGAAAGAGGAAATTTAAGAGAACAGTGAAGGTGATGGCAGTGACAGTCAAGACAGTGACAATCATTTTGAGGACTTTTAGATTATGATAATGGCAACTGCCTGACAGTTTCAAATCAAGATTAGATCCTTTTAAAATTTAACAGCCTAATAATCTGCCACTTCTAAAAAAAATGGCAGCAAGTCTATAATCAATGTTGCATGACTTTGCCATTTACTTAAGAACAGTGATTGCATAAATTCCTATTATATTGGAGTGGCATGTGTCCCAGGTTTCTTTCTCTTCCTTGTTGTGTCATTCTGGAGAAACAGTGGAGAACCAGTGTTGTCTGTCTTCCCACACATGGCGCTAAAACAGCTCACACTCACGCTCTCACTGCAGGTCTTAACTTGTTCCAGTCCTGTATGTGCGTATACATGATTGGGTGAGCATGAAATAATTTTTAAGGTATGCCTTGAACTGCTACCTTTTTGTTCTGTCTCCCTTTCACTTCTACTGTTTACTATACTCCTCTTTCTTCTCCTGCTTTTTTATTCAGTGGTCACCTGCTGCGTTCACTCATTCCATAACAAAACCTGAGATGAAGCCTGTGCACCTGCCAATAGTTGCTGGTGCAAAATGGCTGTCATCTGATTCTCTGGGGACACTGCTGTCAGATGTTTGCTACCACTGGTTCAGTTTTTGTCTACACCGAGGGTTCGTAGAAGTTATGTCTGCGGTTTAAGTTTGATGGCACAACAGAACTGTGGTCGGACAAGTTCACAACAACCTCATTATTATAAACTAAAATCAATTTACTTGAACATGATATTTTGATAAGCAGTGCTAGGTGTAACGCATTACTAAGTACATACATGTTACTGTGTGTATATATTTGTAAATCACCTGATAGACCTACTGATCTTAAAGGGAAGTATTACAGGATCTTTTAACAACTTATATTTAGGTCTTTCATTGACTATATTGTTATAAGTATTAATATGCTTATGTGGGTGTGAGCTGTTGCCAAGCAACAGCTGCTGTAAGGGAGACAAGTGAGAGCTCGGAGAAAAAAGGACAGAAGATGTGAGAATGGAGGAGGACAGCGGGCGCTTTGACAAGACACCGTCATTACTTTGAATTTCCCAAAAGGGGAAGAATTTCATTGTGGCAAGTAGGTTTTGTTATTGTAAGTAACTGTGGTCCCAGAGTCCCGTGTTGAAACCCTCACTTGATACCAAGCTTACTGCAGGTGTGTCTCCACTGCATTATGGCATAAGTGCCATATGTAAACTAATAACAAAATGAATATACCGGATATGGATAATAAGCCGATGTTACCTCTAGCAATCTCATGTCAGTGAGTGTACAGCAGGGAGTTTGGAGAACCAGCCGCACCTGTCTGCCTCTTTCTCTATTCCACCCACATCCAGCATACAGCACCAGGCTGTCCAGACAGGTTGAGTGAGTGAGTCAACAGAGAATGAGACTCAGAAAGTGACAGGAGGACACAGGCAGAGTGGACGCATTGTGTTCTACCTTATAAACCAGAATACAACTGGTTTTAAGTGAATTTGTGACATTAGTCCAAGACATGTAGAACAACTGGAGTCTTGTTGAAGATGTTTTATAACACAGCGTTTACAAGGAATGACTTCAAAAATAATTTTCTGCATAGGTAATGCAGACTGTTATCAGTAATCATCACACTAGGACTGGATAGGGTTGTGTGTTACACGTATCACCTGAACAGATGCCAAAGCTACGTGCTAGTTTACCTCATATTCAGATAATGGCTTCAGCATCACGCCACACAGCCAGCCTGTTAACAATAGCTAAATACATTTTTGACTTTGGAAATCACATATACAGTTGGATCAATGTTTAAATCTTCTATTTATTCTAATCATATCTGAGCAGCATAGTTGCCTGTTTAGAAGGTTCTCATGCTCCTGCACTCTTTTCTTTGCAGTGACTGATATCTGCTGTACCTATTTTGCTCCTGCCAGGTGTATACTTCCCCTGTGGTTTCTATGTTTACTTGCAGGAATAACAGATGAGCGGTCACAACCAGTCGGTGCAGTCAGTGTGCTTTTTGATAGAGGCAGCTCTTAAACCCCACATTCGGTGGGAAAGGTAAACAGTTAAATCAAATATTGTGTTGACTGAACCAAAGTGATTAGTTTTTCATTCCCTTCATTTAACACGTTCTCTTACTTATAAATACGAGACGTTGTCACCTGTGATGCTTCTCCAGTCCTATGTTGGTTGTGTTCAACAAACAAATCTGTATCCTTGAATAGCTGGATTCTATGAATTACTATGAAATAAATTCTGTTGAAATTCCAGCGAGAGAGATTTTATCTTATCAAATATACTTAGATAAGTGGATAGAACTCATTAGTGAACTGGATTTGATAAAAGATTTGAAAGCACTAATAAAAGAAGCTTCTGGCCCCTCTTATGTGATTTCCTATATTATTTTAAAAGCACTTGTCCATTTAATGGCAGATTAAAGTGCTTTTTGATGCTCTAGATATTTGTCTGGCGCCCTGGTTTCTCTTAACGGTCTGGATTTTTATTCCCTACCTGCGTCATCATCGCCTCTAATCCTCCTTTAACACACACCATCATTTTGCTTGTCCGAGCTAACAAATTTGTATTTGTCAGCAGCCTGTGAAATATGTAAATGCACACCCTGCTGCCTCATTGTCGGAGGAGGGAAAGTAGCACTGCTGTTGCCAAGGGTGACCAGTTGCTTTGGTCAGGGATGTCGGGGAGAGGCTCATATCTGTCCCTTTCAACACAGACACACACACAGCTGTTGGCAGTGTGTGCCAGCGGAGAGAGAACACAGTGGTGTTACATGCAGAGTAAATGGAACGGCACACGTGACCTTGAAACAGAGAAGATGATTTTACAGTAGAAAAGAAAATGCATTAAAGTGCTGAATAAGATGACCTGTTGCCAAAGTAGGCGACGTTGATGTAGTGCATGTTTGCTAATGCAGTCATGCCTGGAAAGTGTCCCAGACCAAAGCCATAGAAGTACCAGCTTTCAACTATACACACAATGTCCTTGTCTTTAAATTATTTTGGAGAAAACCTCTTTC